TTTATGTGATGATTTCTGAGGAAGTAAATAAGGTAAATACAAATCAGATTAACATTTTAGAAATGGTTAGGAAAAAAGAAAGAAAACAATAAAGGCTCCCAGAATTTTTGACAGTATGAGTGGCCCTTCTTTCTAAAGTTTTTGGTTTGTTGATTTTCTGCCTCAATTAGAGCGAGTCCAGCCTTTGTTACTTTTGTTGTTGAATTTACCTTTAGAAGTGACTGTGCTTGTGAAAAATATGAATAATAGAAAGACTGTCTTTCTTGAGGTCAAAGACCAGGCTAAAACTTTAGCTTTTGTCTTTGTGCTCCTGTGCAGATCCTTAACCTCTCTGTATCTCAGTTTCTTCTTCAGAAAAATGGAAACAAAATTGCCTTCCTCAGAGTAATCTTCAGAAACAATAACATGTTCAACTGTTTGGCATCCATAAAACACCTTATCCCGTTAATGTGGGATAATGTGCAGATATTTGTCTTTATTGTAGAGAAAAACATTTTTATTGTGATTGAAATTTATATATACAAATGGAATTTTTCGAAAGGGCTACTTTGACATCCGTGAGGAATGTAGCAGGAGTCCTACTGGATGTAAGCATCACCAAGGATCCTTCCTCGAAAGCTTTCTACTGATGGGGCTCTTTCCACATGGGGCTGGGCTGGGTTGGAGATAGTCTTCCTGGAATCCTGATCCCAGAGCTTGATGAAGTTGATTTTATCGCCTTTCCTTTTTTGTTTTTTTACACCTTCACCCTAACTCCCTCCCAGAGCTAATGGAACTCATTCCAGAGGATCACACACACTAGAGGATCATGGATTGATCGAGGTTATAAGATTCAACATTGTTTCACTCTTATTCTTGTTGTGTGTTAAATATAACAGCCACATTAAACTATCTATATAGATCCAATATCGAAATTGTCAGCTTAAGATTGTCTCCCAAACCAACATCAGTGCTCACATACTATTTGATAGATGGCATATATGCATATAAATTTTCGTATTTGTCTGTCGTGTAAGGTTTAGAGATTTTTTTTACAGATTATAAAACCAGGTCTGGGAAGGGAGAGAAGGCTGAACTTTGTGGAGGTGAAGACAGATGTGGTCCAACTTTTGCCTACCTCGACTTTACTGTATTCATTCATTTTCTTGAATGAGTTTGAAAGCTAAGTGAGGAATGGGAAGGCAAGAGCAGAATATTTTTCCTGTCCTTTCTTTTTCATTAAAGTGATATCAGGAAAAATCTAATTGTGGGGTTATGGAAGTTATTTAATTTGCTAGTATCATCCTTTGTTTACAGGCGATACTGGCTGTTAAACTTTTGTTTGGCTTGCATATATAAAGTCCTGGGTTAGATCTTGGGTGCCACAGAAATAAATAAGACAATAATAAATCAAAGAAAGAAAAAGGGAAAAATAATTTTGATGGTGACCATGTCCCTTTCTCATTCCCTGTTTCCCATCTTACCCTCCATCTAGCTCTGTCTAATAAGTTATCAGCTTTTTATTTTCACTCTGTTGTAAATTTATGCTACCGTTTTGTTACCAATGCAACAGAAGAACACAAAAGGGAAAACTTTTAGCACATACTGGTTTCTTTTAAAACCTATAACATGCAAAGCAGGAAAAGATGTGAAAGGACTAAGCAAGCTTTTGTACAAATAAAGGGAGAAAATAGAAATAAAGGGAAGTGGTTTATAAGTATTGGTCTGAAACGAGTTCTATATCAAAACTACAATTTTTGCCAGTCTACAGCAAGTTGAAGATAAAATAGAAAGTAGAAACTTTTTCATGAAAATTGTATTAAAGAATGATAATGTTTTCCTAAAGTTATGCTTTTCCTTTTTTGGGAAAAGTAGCTCTAAAATATGATAGAAGTAGACATTACGTATTTAACTGTTCATTACTAAGAAAAAACAGCAAGATTGGCAGTTTGATTTGGGGCCTTCTGGTAAAATAAATTTTTTTTTGGTATTTACTAAAATGTATTTGTGTTTATAATTATTATTAGGAATATATTAGCATTTTAATGCTAAGTCTAGTTTTCTTTATTTATTTTTTTATATTTATTTATTTTTTAATAGTGAGGCACCATGAGGCACAGTTGTAGACTTACACATTATTGTGCTTGGGTTTCGATTATACAATGATCAAACACCCATCCCTCCACCAGTGCGCATTTCCCACCACCACGAATCCCAGCATCCCCTCCCCCCCCCCCATCCCCTATCCCACCCTGCCTCTGTGGCAGGGCATTTCCCTCTCTCTCCTTTTGAGTGCCATGGTCGGCAAAAGAGGCATTGAGTGGCAATCATGCTTGGTCGACAGTCTACCCTCAGCATGCTCTCCCATCGTGGGCGGATCCTCCCAACACCCTTTATTCGGTGTTCCCTTCTCTTTCTGAGCTCCCCCTTCCCCTAACATGTGTGGTTGTCCTCCAGGTCATTGAGTAAAATTCCTGGTACTAATCTCTGCCATACTTGGGTGTTAGTTTCCTATTTTGTTACTTTATGTTCCCCAGATGAATGCAATCTTTCTATGTCTATCCCTTTCTTTCTGAGTCATTTCGCTTAACATGATACTTTCCATGTTGGTAAAATAAATTTTGATATTTTTATTTGTCCCCACAAAAATCCTAGAAACTCTTGTTTTGGTGTGCTGAATTGGAAAAAAGAGGATTGCTCCTTTGTCTGGTTCTGTCAGTCAGCTGTGTGACTTTGAGAAATCACTTAACCTCTCTGTGTTCTTTTATTTGCAAACTAGATACCTGATACCAGGCTTTATGTATCCCCTAAATTTGTTTTACAGTAAACTGAGGTCACATGTTTCTAAGTGCTTAAAAAATGAAGAGGGTTTTGTAAAAGTGATCATTTTTATACTTTGCCATTAACAATATAGTTACCTTTCCAAAATTTTTGGTAAAAGATTTCAACAAAAATCTGTTTCTGTTTATTAACTTAATATCTTCTATTGGCAAATAAAAAAGTTTGGTTATTACTTATAAGTAATTATATTTGGAGTAGACTAGAAAGCATATTATTTGAACCACTAGTGTCTTCCTGGAAAACAGTGAACATCAGGGTTTGGAGAGATAGTTGAAGGGTCAAGGCACTTGCCTTGTACAAAGCAGACCTCAGTTTGGTGTCACCACCTATGTTCCTCCAATCACTGCCTGGTGTTATCCCTGACCATAATGCTAGGAGTAAAACCTGAGGTCTTCTGGGTGTGGCCAAAAATAGATGGAAGGAAGAAAAGAAGCAAGCAAGGAAGGAAGAAAGGGAGGGAGGGATTTTTAAATTTTATCTTTTAAAAATTAAAAGACAAATTTAAAATTTACCTTTTAAAACTGTTGAATTATTTTTGACATAAAAATTTAAACCAATTTTACGACATTTGACATCGTTTTGTCAAAGTGGCACCTGTTGTCTCTTTCAGAGCAGTGAGTCAACATTGGGACTACTGTCCCCTATGCACTCGTTCTGAGAACTAGTACATGATTATTTCCAATTGCTGTGTACATCCTGGCATATATTAAATCACTTCTGATCAAGTTTGCTTTGTGAATCCCTTTCTATTTGAGCAATTGATGAGGTTATAAGTTAAATAGCTCCATTTGGAAAAAAGCATAGCTGGAGGGATATATGGTGTTAAACTGGAGTGCTGATGCTAGAACATTCAATCTAAGACTGATGTCAAGAGGGACAATTATCAGACTCATTAACAAAACTTCCTTGGGAGTCACCTTCAAAGAGGAAACAATCTGCTGTTGAAGGAGCCATCGCCTTAATCCAGTCTGGCATTACTTCTAAGTTCTTGTCTTAGAATATTTGAATATTCTTCGACTTCCGTTTTAAAATTAATTACCAGTAGTCAGGTATGACTCCTAGCTGTGGAAATAATCTATTTTGTTGGAGACCAGGAACTTCATATTTAAAATTCTGGATCATCTGCCCTCTATTCTGAAATGAAATTTTTTTCCTCTT